CAGGAAGAATTACAGATCCCTTCTCACAAATCTATCCTAAAAGATACTTGCTTGCACTTAACTAGGTTCAGCAAGAACAGACATGTGAGCTTTGTCATCGCCAGATCTATCAAAGCTCAGGCAAATACATTTCTGTAGCATTCCGTGGCCTCACAATCTCTGTGGAAGCAGGCTTAGCAGACTTGCTGTTCAAAAGACAATTCTTAAGGATTTTAAGAATAATTTTTTATTGAAAAAATAGTCTTTATAGATATTCAGTTTGTTGCATAAGCAAAGCATAAGTTACATTTCCATAGAATATTGCAAAGAAATCTAGGCATCATTCACTAAACAAAAATACAGTGGTGCTTTGCTAGACAATATTAATCTGTTCCATCGAAATAGCTGTCTTGTGAAAATATCGTCTAGCGAAAAGCATTTCCCCATTGGAATGCATTGAAACCTGTTTAATGTGTTCCAATGGGGGGAAATAGTTGTCATCCAGTGAAAATCGCCAATAGGGAAGCCATTTTGCGAAGTGCCGATCAGCTGTTTAAATCGCTGTCTTGCGAAGCATCGGTCCCGAAAACACCTGTTTTGCGAAGATCGCCCATAGGGAAGCCATTTTGCGAAGCTGCCGATCAGCTGTAAAAATTGTCGTCTTGCAAAAAAAATGGTCTGCAAAGCACAGACCAAATCATCGTCCAGCGAAATCCCCCATAGGAAAAACCATTTTGTGAATTGCTATAGCGATTGCAAAAAGTCAACGTCTAGCGAAAAAACGTTTTGCGGGGTAATCGTCTTGTGAGGTACCATTGTATAGCTAAAAATACTAGGCCTAGGGTATAGCCCCCTTCTCCTTCTTTCCGAGATTCTACATTTCAATTCCCTTGATCTAGCATAGGGAAAAAAGATTCAAAATGGCTCCTAAGCCTCTCTATAGACTAAGGAACAGTCCACATTGCACTTCTACTTTCTTGGCACCACCCTTCCTCTTCATCTCTCAAGGTGTTGACCAATAGGTGATTAGGAAAGTCCGTTCTCATCCCACCTTTTGTTCCCAGGAGAAATTCAGGTGTTGTTCTCCTTGTCTTGGTCCGGATGTGGACAACATGTTGTGTGTTCACGCCTTATCGTCTCCTGACATGGCAGGGTACTTTCCCATCGGCTCATGAAGAAAACATTCCCATCTTCATACATGCTTCATACATACTTCTGGGAGCTCTGTCCACATACTGCTGAAGCCTGCCTTGTAGGATTTTGAGCATAACCTTGTTAGTGTGTTCGTCTTTGCCCTGCTTCGTTTTGAACTCCAAAGCCAACCTTTCCTGTTGTTCATTTTCTCTCTTGACTTCCTACTTTAGCATTCCAATCCCCTATAATGACAAGAACATCTTTCTTTGATG